TTGGTAATGAATATAAATTGCTCAGGTTTTCCTCCCTATCTCATTTTGCTTTTCTTAGTTCTGAAAATTATATATAAACATTTTACAAAATTTAAAAATGAGGATTTCTTTGAGCTGGGAAAGAGTGTACTAGCAGAATACACTCATTTGAGCAAAGGGTAAAAGAGAAATAAAATTACTAATGCAAAATCATACCACAAGTAGCAAATTTTAGTATACATACAGATTGTAATACTGTAAATACTTTTTAAAAAATGTTGGATATGGGCTGGGGATTTAGCTCAGTGGCATAGTGCCTGCCTGGCAAAGTGAAATCGTGAGTTCGATTCCCAGTACCCGGAAAAAAAAAAAAAAAGTTGGATAATGTGCATGTAAGATACTTATAATAAATTTTAGATAAAATTAAACTTTTACCTGAAGAACTACATTCCTGACTAACAAATCCCAAGATGTTTTCAGTTAATACTTTGAATGATCAAAATGGACATATCTCTGATGAAATTATTTGTTATTTTATTTCCCCATTCTCTCTGCTTTATGTGTCCATATGCATATATATATATCCAAATATATATGTGTATAAACTGACTACAAAAGTACACATTGCATATACATACAAATATACTCTGTGAATATGCAAAGTAGCATTTCAATTATTACATTTTACAATGACACAGAAATCAGCCACCTAACAATGTTTACTTTCTATAGGTCTATATTCATAAAATGTTAAACTAAATGATACTGGGCTTGCATAACTTAGAATCCTGTTTCAACATATACTCTATAGTCCTTGGAAATCTATTCAATATGTGCAAAATTGTCAAATTTCAAAGTGACAAAAGAAAAATTAATATTACATTTCAAATCAGTAGTTTGAACATGGTTATATACCTTCAATAATTACAAATATACATTTTTAGAAATAACTTATAACACCCACCCATAGCAGTGAAATAGATACTAAAACCTAAACTTACAACATTTTTTTTTTTTACTTTTTTTGAAGAGTATAACTAAAATATTAAATATTTGGAAAACATTTCCCTATATTGCCACCTTAATTCCCACATTCTTAATGGCAACATTATGAGATTATTAAACTGTAGATATCAATTACTTAAATTTAAAATGCTTTGGAGATAAAATTTGTTTACTGATTACTTTCATTTTAATATTTCACATTTTATTTTACTAAATACAAAAGACAAATTAGAAATGTGTTCTTTAGTCCTGTGTCAATATTAAGTTCATAAATGTTCTTGTGATGCTCATTTGAAAAATGCTAAAATTATGGCATTAGAAACTTTAGCAAAACTTTACACAATTGAAGGAAGTATTTGATCTGCACAGTGGTGTAACTTCCTACCTTCTAATACTTTTAATGAGAGAAAATTATGTAAGGACTCACAAGTTATTTTCAAAAATAAATACTTTCAATTTTTTCTAGTTTTACTAATGTCTTACTGTGTTTTAGACAAAGTTGTCCCCTGTTTGTTTTAAATTCTAATTTCTGAGTTGTTATTGAGGACACATTAAATGATTCAGTTCAACCCAGCACACTAATCCACTGAAAGTCTGAAGACTGAAATGTAAATATATTATATATTTGTTTCTTTAATCATATAAAATTTTCCTGGCTATCTACTCTAGTCCCCTTTTACACATAAGAAGTTTTACTAAGTTGTAGGAGATCTTCAATTTATTTATATGATATCTGTACATGGACTTTTCAAAATCATAACTTGAGCTAAAATCATTTCATTTGGAAATTGGGTGGTATATGTATTTTCTCACAGATGTCCTTTTAATGAGGAATATCAACATTTTTATTTTACTCTTAAGAGAAACAGACAAAATGAATATCTATATTTAGATATTCATGATAACTGAATATAGAATTAGTCTATATGACTATATGACTATTAGTCTATATGACTATAGAATATAGTCATGATAACTGAATATAGAATTAAATGGAAAGTGTTATTTTTAATTTAAAAGACAATTTTATTCAAGGCACTGTCTTAGACATTAATATTGTTGCTATGCTTCCTAAGTATTTAGGGTTTTCAACTTACCTCACAAAATTGTACTATACATATGTGAATGGTTCTGTAGCTTACAAACTACCAGTATTTGAGATCTGTGAAATTTGGCTCAAATTCAACTACATTTACTCTTACTGGTCTTAACAAATAGTATGGTCAGAAAATCATTTCCTTTCCTGGATCCACTCTGTAGAAGCTTCTTCTGTAAGGGAATGTTTTTCATTAGGAGAAATTTCATTCCGGGGCCACAAGTTGAAAAAAGTGAGGGGACAACTGGGAACTTCCTTAAAGATAATTGCTTAGTTTGTGTTTGCTTATTTTTGTATCCATGTATAACAATAATATACTTGACATCCTGTCAGAAAAAAGGTGGTATCTGTACTATAGATTTTTAAATTTGCTTTTCAAAACAAGTGACTATGAATTTAAATGTAGTTTGATTGTACTTTATTACCTTTCCAAACATAGGCAATGGTGTTATATGGACAGCTTCCCATCTTCCACTTTGTGGGGCATGTAGAGTTTGATCTGTTCCAGTAGCTACCATTTTGGCTCAATGGCACCATTACAATATTTAATGAAATTATTCACTGCTTAATGCCTTCACAAGAATGTCATTCTCAACAATGTTTGTGAGGGGCTGGGGATTTAGCTCAGTGGCACAGCACCTGTCTGGCAAGTGCAAGTGCAAGGTCGTGAGTTCAATTCCTGGTACCAGAAAAAAAACCAAAAACCAAAAAAAAAAAAAAAAAAAGAAAAGAATAATAACCCCAAGAATAAAAAAAAAACACCAATGGTTGTGAATTTTATGACCTAGCAACACTCCTTTTATATAACACATATGGCCTCAAAATGTGCTTTGAAACACACAAGGTATTGAGGAACACATTTTCAAATTGTTCATTTTTTTCCTAATGTGATGGTACCTAGGGTTCTTGAAGAATAATCTGTGTAGTTTAAAATCTCTGGAAAAATGTTAAAATGCCTTTTCTCAAGTTCTAGTTCTTTAACAATCTTCTTATAAATAAAAAATCACCATCCTACTCCAGCAGTCTAGAAAAAAAAAGAATGAATATACCTGGATTATACCTTTTTAAATATTACTTGTCTTTAAGAGGAAGACAAACTTTCAAAACTCATAATAAAATAAGATAGACATGTGTTACTTATATTCACATATAATATATATGAATGTAGGCCTGTAAGAAAAACATCAAACCTTGTTAGACTTTTTATAGAAATATTTTATTCTCATTATTTTTAAGGGCAATTGCTTATACAAGTTCCTTTCAGGGATTTAGTATCTGTGATTTTTGTCTCTTATTTTCAATGATACATCCAAAGAGAGAGACTGAAAGAGAGAAAGAAAATGAACTCTGCAGAACAATTCAATAGTCCAAATTGTACTGAGTTGGAGATTATTTCAAATTCAGAGCTTTTCTGAAAACATTTTTATTAACAAGTGCATTTAGGCTACGAAAATATTAGGATATATATTATGAAAGATCAAATTATATTTTCCAGCTGTTATACCTAACATTAGAAAAGGGCAATGTCTTTAAATGCTCATTACACCTCCCTTTTGAAAAAGTAATCAACTAAAATCAGATACTAAAAGAGCATATTGCCAGAACCCAGCCTCTCTTTGCTAGTTTATTTCATGAGCAAGGACTTGGAAGTCACAGTCTTTGCATATCATGATCAATTTCACCAATAGAAGACGACGATTTACATCCAGTATTACTTATTGACAAGTTGCAAGTGTGTAACTATCTTTCTACTCAGTAACATTCCTGTAAGTGTTTTAAAATTAAATAATCAGAAAATGGGACCAAACTAGTTTTCATGTAACAAGAACAGTATAACATGAGATTCATACCTTCATTTGATATTATTACAGAAAGGGAGAATTCCCAGAACAAACCTTACTCCTTTTACTTATAAACACTTGCATTGCTTAATTTTCAATACGGTTCATAAGAATACATGTCATTTCTTTTGGGGATGACAGCAAAACTGATAAAACAGTCCCTGTTATGCCTGTCATTTATGTCATCCACAGCATCATGACCTGATATTAGTTACCAGGGACAAAGCCAAAGCATAAGATTTAAGTTTCATTCAGATTACACACAAATAGCCACCACTGAAAAAAACCATAGCAAAGGGATTCATGTCCCAGTAATTTAAAAAAGATGAAAAGGAAGAAAGAAAGAAAAAAGAAAGGGACGAAGGAAGGAAGGGAGGAAGGGGTGTAAGGGGGAGGGGTGGCAGGATGAGGAGGGGGAGGGGAGGGAGGAGGGGGGAGGGGAGGGAAGAGGGAAGGAAAGAAGTCTGTCCTTAAAAGCTTGATACAATTACACAGTAGGCCTCTGACATTCTCTACGCTGGTAAATAGCTAAATAGCAAATGACATGGCTGTGAGATCCCTGTTGCATGCTTTAATCAAAATTAAAATTTTACAACAAAATCACCGCTTGGGTAAATTGCTCTTTGGTTTAAATCTTTGTTATCTCCGGGCATTTTGGTAAACTCACTTTGTTTTTAAATTAAACCGGCCCCTCCTTCACTCCATTACAAAAGTCAACACCAAGAACCAGACAAGAATTGTAGAATGAAAAGAGTTTTGTTTGTGTGTATGCGTGGTTTGAAGTCCAACCCCCTGTATACAAACTGTTTAAAAAAAAAAAAAACAGGTGTTTCAACATAGTGCTTTATTACAACTTAATCCCATCCTTGAATGAACTTCCTTCAAGTTTCAACCATTAAAAAAAAAGCAGTCAATTTCCTGGTAGTTGTAATTTAATTAAGTAACCTTTCACACCAAGAGAAACCCACAAACAAAAGGGTCATTAATCTGGCTAGTGATTAGAGACACCTCTAGAGCTTCAAACATTTACCTCTCCTTCCCCGCAGTAGAAATGCTTTTAGGAGGATCATGGTTCATACCTCACATTCCCTGGAGCCAGAGATGGTATATGTGCAGGGCCCAGATCCATTAACCGATATATCCATGGTCTCAGAGTTTGTAGGCTTGTAGTCCACATAGTACTCCTGCAAAGGGGAATTCATTTGTCTTTCAGACTCTCTGGCCTTTTTCCGCCGCCTCTTCATTAGAGAGTGCTGCTGGAGTTGCTTCATGCTGGCTGGATAGCGTTTCCAAGACACATAGATAACCAAGAGGATCATGGCCACTGAGAGAAAGAGAGCCACGCTCCCCGCAATGATTTTGTGAAAGGAAACGTGCTCATAATCTTGGTCTGTGCCGGGAATCTGAAACCCTGGGGAAGGGCTTGGTGTCTCAAGGATGGACTGAGAGGCATCAGGTTTGAAGATGGTAGGTTTAGGGATAATCAAAGGCTTCTGGGGAGTTTGGGGCACCAGGTGTGCTCTTTCCGTATTGACCACCTGGACCTCAGAACAGATGTTGTATGTTTCCACCGCATCGCTAACCTTTTCGCCCTGGATGTGCTTAGGTCCTGCGCATATCATGGTGCTCTCCTTATTTCCTTTGAAATTCTTCAGCCAGTAAAACAGAGGACAAATGCTCCGGCTGCATTCCCACATATTTCCAGACAAGGTAATGGATATGAGTGATATCCATGCATTGACAGTTTCCTGTGAGATGTTGGTGAGCTTGTTGGAATCCAAATTCAGTTTCTGCAAATTGGGGAGGCATTTAAATGTGCCCGGCTCAATTCCTTGGATATCATTCCCTGATAAATCCAAGTTGTGTAAGGAACTCCAAGTCCACGTCAGGCCTTGGCTAATGGAGCGAATCCTGTTCCATTGTAAGTAAATTGAACGCAAGTTGAAGAGACGTGGAAAATGAGCAAAGTTGATCTTGGAAAACTGGTTGTGCTCCAAGTGGAGTTCCTTTAATTTCAAGAGGCCAGCAAAAGCATTTCGGGATAAGCTCCGGAGACGATTGTAGCCCAAATCCAGAAAGTCAAGATTCCGACAGTCTTGAAAAACTCTTATGGGAACAGTCTTTAGTGAGTTCGACCTCAGGTGCAAAATTATGAGTTTCCGAAGTCCTTTAAATTGTTCAGATTGCAGTGTCTGAAGTTTATTGTAGGAGAGGTCCAGATTGCGGAGATTGGGAACTGGATGAAATGTTTTATTGTGCAGATAGGTAATTTTGTTGGAGCTTAGAATTAATTCTTTCAGTCGACGGATCCCTTGAAATGCATCTTCATCCACTGAGCTAATATAATTATGGTCAAGATAAAGCCATATAAGCTGGTTAAGGCCAGCAAACTGATTGGATTTGAGCTTCTGAATGCTGTTGAACCTTAAGGATAAGCCTTGTGACCCACCAGAAATGTTCTCAGGAATATCTGCAAAAGCGTGGGACTCACAGTACACAATTTTGCCATCACATCTGCAGTTCTTTGGGCAAGCTCTCTGAGCCCCCGTCAGCGTCACAAGCAGCAGTGTAGGAAGTAGCACCAGAACCACACTCATGCCTTTCAGCTGCGTAATTAAATGGAAACCTACAATATTAAAAAGAACACAGATGCACATTGTGAAGCTATTACAGTACAGCAGCACCAGCTTACCCATACTGGGGGCATTTTATCTAATGCAGTAACGGGACAGCTGACTTAGGAACACATTCAACACTTAAGCATTATTTCCTTCATTGTTGCATGCTTCCTGTTTAGGCTTCATTCTTTCTTGCTTGATCTTCAAATCAGCACAGTGCTGTAGGACTAAGAAAATCCCTTCTGAGTTTCAGGAGTTTCTGGGTATCTCCACAGTGAAAAACACAGAACCTTTCTTTTCCCTGAATGCTGCTGGCATTTTAATAACAGTAATGTCGGGCTAGTCACTCTGCTGAAGAACAGTACCGAAAGAAAGTGAACTACCTCTCCTGGTGAGCACAGAATTGTGGTTTAGGAAACCTGGTATTCATACATTTCTGCTAGTTGGGCAAACAGGATGTGATACAGCAAAGGAGCTTCAGGAGGCTGTCAAGGCAATCCAAGTTTGTCCTGCTTGAAACTGTATGCTTATTGCATAATGGGATGGTAAGGTATGAGCTCCGAAGAATGGCATTAGGACTAATATAGGCAGCTCATGAAGCACTGTACGAGGACTAATAACCATGCAAGTTGCTCTTAGTTTCTTAATCATCACCCACAGTATTACTATGTACTGTGCTTCTATGCCCAGTATGACCTAAAAGGCATACCACCCTTATCAGAGAACATTCCAAAGTTAAATTGCCCAATTCTTATTCAATATTCCATAAAATGCAAAACAGCCTTGTGCATCCGTTTGGTGTTATTTTCATAGAGATGCTCTTACAAATGTAAGGGATAAATAGGGAAAGAAACAGCAGACTGCTAACCCCCACCCCACCATGCCTACCTGTTTAAATTTCTCACTGACTTTTTTTTTCTTCCCTGCCTCCATTAACTTCAGAAAGCCTGCAAAGTTGCAATCTATTGGCATTTATACTGCATTTCCAAGTCATTGCATGTTAAGAGACTTCTTTCCTCTGCGAACAGTAGATTTATTATTTCTTAACACTCCCGTACACTGCAGTTCCCTTTTTTCTTTAATATTCGTATTTTTAAGCAAGAGGCAATCAGCCAAACCCTGAATCTAAAAATCCTCCTTCTCAGTCAATTTTTTTTCTTTTTCTCTTCCTTTTCTTTCTTTCTTTTTCTTTCTTTTTTTTTTTTTTTTATTTAAAACTCAGTCTTGCTCTCTGTCCTTTTGCCAGTTACAGACTCATTGAAATACATTCCAGCTCTCCCAGAAAGGAGAAGGGGGAAAAAAAAGCCAGTCACACTTGAAAAAATAAGACTGGCAAATGACTGCTGGAAATTTGGAAGCTGTGTTCAGGATCCAGCTTCAAAAATAAAATAAGTCCTGCACAATCTCTAAAAAGTAGGGACCCCACCCCTACGCACACCCAATACAGTGTTAACAACCTTCCTGACAGCAGCCAGAAATACAAGCGTGGCTAATATCAAGAAACAGAAACAAACAGTATTTATTTCATGCTCAATTCCCAAGCTGTGGATACGCAGACGGCAGAGACAGCCTTACAGATATTTCTCTAGAGTCTGTTTAAGTCCGTGTTATGCATTTACAGATTAAAAAAAAAAACACTGCAAAAAGGAAAATGATCTAAAAATATAATAGCAACTATAGTGAGTTAACTGGCGAACTCCAAGGCTGCTTTTAGCCTGTTTCCTTGCCTTTTATCAGCTAATGCCACGGCTAAGGATAGGAAGGGAAGAGGATCAGATTTACTAAGAAGGACACAACAAAAGTTCACTTACCCATCCTTTGTCATCCAAAAACGTCTCTCCCCTCTCAGCTTTCTTCTTATTTGGTCTCTTGAGCTGAAACCACCACCACCTTCATGACACAGTGCGGCTGTCATTCACACCATTCTGATCCCGCATGTGAGCTAGTAGCCCCGTACAAACTTCCCCGGAGAGGACACGCAAAAATATATGTACATATATATTTAAAAAAATCGGCACGGGGTGGGATGGAGGGACAGGGAGAGAGGAAGCCGTCTCGGGGGCGGGGGTCTCTAGGCTCTGAAGACCATTGTATAATTCACCAGAGACCCATCAGCAGTAATTGGCAATCTGTGCAAAGAGCTACAGCCCATCGCGGAGGTAACCAACTTCTCTGTAAAAAGACAGGGGAAAAAAAAAAAAAAAAAAAA